TTATTATTATTATTATTATTATTATTATTATTATTATTATTCTGCATCAATAATAATTACATAGTCCGAACCAGGAATAAAATTTCTGTGAGTTGCGTGGCATCATTAAACAGAATCCCAACAAACATATGAATTTACAAACAAAATAATACTTGAATAATTAAGCCTGGGATCTGATTATGATTCAATACAGAATAATTATGTCCCTAATCTTCAATTATTTTATTTTATAGCATACAGAGCATGCACGTTCTTATCTTGTTCCGATTTTTAAAGTTCCAATTTTATAATTAGCTTTAGTCAAGATGGTGCAGATTTTATCATAAAATAATCAAAATCACGTAGAAAATAAATGTTCCACCACTACTTAGTACGATAAATTATCAGTTAATCAGATTCCTTATTATTAAAGTTCTACGAATCCCATGTCCAATAATATATTAAGAACTATTTTTATGAATTAATATCAAACCTAATTCCAGAGCAAAAATAATATAAAAACATCACAAAGCATAGATTTTCGCCATATCAACATTCGAAATGTGAGAATCAACCACTTAGGCTCAATACGTTTCTGAATTAATATATAGGGAGGGATTGTTGGGAATTCCGACCACACCGAAACACCGCCCAAGATCTACTGAAAATAATAAAACTGGAGAACACAAAGTTTAACGTGAAAAACCCTCTGTTAACGAAGAGGGAAAAACCACCAGGGCAACAAGGTCGTAGAAAAAATCCACTATGAAATAAAATTACAATCACACAATTTTTTCTACACTCACTTATACCCAAATTACCCCACAGAATTTTTTTATCCGTTAACCATAACTCTCACCCTAAGGAATTTTTAACCAGAGATTAATTGTTAACACAATAACTCTGTGGGATGATTTTACATAAGAAGTAGCACTTTCTTATATAGGGGAAAACTCCCCTCCTCTCTCATCCCACTTCCGATGTGGGACAAAGCAAAAACATAACAAACTCCACCTTGCGATTTTGACCCATTTGACAGCCACTATTCACTTTGATGAAATTTTTCATAGCTTTCGCTATCATGCTCCACCATAAAAGCATCCACTCGGACTCGCATCCAAGCATTTCTTCGACCCATGTCGAAATAACTTTGCTGAAATTTATGGTGCAACTTTCACGTTTGGCTTTCCTGAAAGTTCATCAGCCCTCGACACGCTTTTTCCACCACACACCTTGCATCACCACCAAAACAATGCCTGTGTGTAAACTGTGGACTCGCTAATTGTAACACGTCCTCTTTCATGACACTTAGCGACACGCCATAAGGATTCCCCTTTCTCTCTTAGCAAAACTCATCCATGGAGAGAGAGACAAAATTAGCTTCTTCGGTATCTCCACTTACCGACTTCGAGCTTTTTGCCGAACCTGCTCCTCCTTTCGGACAATTTCTTTTCACGTGCCCAGATTGTCCACACGTCCAGCAAATCACAACTTGCTTCTTCCTGGAGTTCCTCTTCTTTCCGTCACCGACGAGCATGACTTGACCTTCCGGTGAATTGTTTCGTCCACCGTCTAGCCTTCTCTCTTTCGCAAGAAGTTTACCAGTGACTTCAGAAAATATAATTTTCTCCTTCCCATGAATCAAGATCGGCTTCATATGTTCATAAGAAGTTGGAAAAGACCAGATGAGTCTCAACGCCTGATCCTCATCATCAATCTTCACTCCAATGGATTCCAGCTCCGAGACGATCCCATTGAGAACGCTTAAGTGGTCTGAGATGCTTTGACCTTCAGTCATTCACAGTGTGTGAAACTGCTCCTTCAGATACACCCGATTTGAGACGCCTTTAGCCTGATACAACTCCTCAAGCTTGTCCCATAATGCTTTTGCCGTCGAAATTCCATGCACATTAGCAAGAACATTCTTGGCCAGACACAGTCGTATCGCGCTTGCCGCTCTCAAATCCAGTTCCTCCCAATCTTCATCGCTCATTCCAGATTTGCTCACACCAGCTTTTTCTTCAGTGCTGCTGGTAGCACTCCCTTGGGAATTTCCGAGCCCTTCAAAGCTTTGTGTAACCCCGACTGAATCAGCACGTCCTTCACTTGCACTTGCCACAAGCCAAAGTTGATATTTCTGTCGAATTTCTCCACATCAAATCTAGCCAGATTCGATATCTTATTTCCAGACATCTTCGTAAATTAGTGAACACTAACTTCGCAGAAAACCGAGCAGCAACCTTGAATAGTACTGATCAGATAAATTCTCAGGGAGGGTAGCGACCTGCCCCCTAAAGAATTACCCTTCTAAGTAAGCTCCCAGGAAAGGCTGGTGGGGTCACAACGGTCCCACTTAAAAAACCAGTCTCCTAGACAGAACCTACTTACACAGTAATTATTCCCCACTGCCCAAAAAACTCCTCTGCACACAAGCTCCACCCGTCACTGGCTCCACCGCACGAAAGACCTCTTTGGTATCTTTTCTGATGTGGAAGATCAGACAAAACTGCAACCACAGAGCATACTCAGAATACCAACTAGGCTAACCTCGCTCTGATACCACTTGTTGGGAATTCCGACCACACCGAAACACCGCCCAAGATCTACTAAAAATAATAAAACTAGAGAACACAAAGTTTAACGTGGAAAACCCTCTGTTAACGAAGAGGGAAAAACCACCAGGGCAACAAGGCCGTAGAAAAAATCCACTATGTAAAAAAATTACAATCACACAATTTTTTCTACACTCACTTATACCCAAATTACCCCAAAGAATTTTTTTATCCGTTAACCTTAACTCTCACCCTAAGGAATTTTTAACCAGAGATTAATTGTTAACACAATAACTCTGTGGGATGATTTTACATAAGAAGTAGCACTTTCTTATATAGGAGAAAACTCCCCTCCTCTCTCATCCCACTTCCGATGTGGGACAAAAAAGCAAAAACATAACAGGGATAGTATGACACATGCAAATTAAAACATAAGATGCTTGGACATAAAAGAATAATAAAATTAATAATACTGTATAATAGAAGATGTCCGAAAATATTTCAACTATAAAATGTACCAAAATTCAAATATACATATAAAAGTGCTGGTTAAACATTAAATAAAATTTACTAGTGCGTGGCCCGTGCGATGCACGAAAAAACAAAATTATGATTGTGTTATAAATTAAATATACAAATAAATTAATCAAGATTTATCCATCGTTTTCAAATTAAACCGTGTTGGACACATTCCGACCGGATGGACCGAGAACCATTATAATCAATCTAGTTCACTTGAATAAAATATTTGTCATTGAATCTGTCAATACCAGTTGGTTGAACTGGTAGGTTCGATACGATTTTCTAAATAAATTTTTATATATTTAAAATTATTTTAAATAAAATTACATATTTAAATAAAATAGAGATTTATAAATTGTTTATCAATTAATTTAAACATTTGAATTTTGAAATTGTTTAGATATTATTCAAGTTTATTACAAAAAGTACCATATATACATATATATTAAAGCGTATTATTAAAGAAAAAAAATTATATTGTATGATTTTATTGAAAAAAATAAGAAAAATAATAAAACTACTATTTATGGGATACATTAAATGCTGACATATTTTTTTGCTACTAATTTTAGTAAATAGGGTAGCTCTTTATATATAGATTTAATTATATCTACGTGACATTTTCTCACAAAAAACGTATATTGGCCATCATTAATCATTTTTTTACACTAATTATATAATATGGACATTAATCAGATCATAATAGTTTTAATTGACGTAAATCAAGATAACTTTGTTTTCAAGAAATGTTGACCAACCATCTTAAAAATTTTAATTATCGGAATAATTTTAATTGACTTTAGTGGCATAATCAAACATCTTAAAATTTAATAAATAATAATACTTTAAGATAATTAATAGGTTAAGATATCTCAAATTTATAAAAAAACTACATTATCTATTTTATTTTATGCAAAGAGATGAAGTTGAATACTTTTGTAATGTTTATTTTTAATAATGAAAAAGAAAAATTAAAATGTGGTACTATTATTATACTTATAATAATTTTAAAGTTATATTGATAATTTAAACATATGTACACATTCAATAAAAATTAAAATGTGATACTATTATTATACTTATAACAATTTTAAAGTTATATTGATAATTTAAACATATGTGCACATAGGATCGAATGCTAGTACATATTACTTCCACCCTCCATTAATGTTCTTTATGTCAACAAAAGCAATTATTCATCAAGAAAACTGCACTGCTTAGCCAAAAATTAACATCTTCACAGCTTCTTCCGTCCTTAACTGTCTTCTAACATCCCCTGTCAATTGACAAACAAACACTGATTTGACTGTTTTCCTCCTTCCTTGCCTTGAGAGGAATTTCAAGCTGGATCGTATCGTATCGTATATAGAACACATTAAAAAAGCAAGTGCACGAATTTTCTCGTTCAACTTATACTTGGGAGTTTTAGCGAGAAACATGTTCCATTCACAAGTTATGCATTTCGTCTTTCTAGCCATCTTCATTTCTACTGAGCCGGCTTTCATTTTACCGCCAATTTTCGGCCATCAGCTTGTTCCCTTACCAATGTTGGACAGATACTTGATGATGTGATCATCAGTTCAGTTCTTTTCTCAAGCTGCCACGGATGTAGAGTTGTCATTAACCTGGTCGAAAAAAAAAATAAAAAATTGATAATAAATTTCATTTATCTGTCTCTTTTAAGTTGCAACTTCAAACTCGTAATTGGTAGGTACAAAGGGTTTAACTACGAAAGAGAACGCCAAAATATTAAGAAACCCTCCAAATGTGTCTGATAATATTATAATGAGGACTCATGAGGCCGAGAAAAATAATTGTTCGTTTTCTACTAATCATGTCAAACTGAAACCTCAACGGTAGTATTTGTAATAACCTCCAATAATGTCAAAAAGAAAAAATAAAAAAATGCAGGCATTCCGTTAAACAACCACCTGCAGATTTTGATTTTTACTTTTGCTCAGCAGGCTTCATCTGATTAGCTCCCTGAACAACAGGGTGAATATACAAAAAACCAGCTGGCAAGAGGGTCCCACCAATACGAGCAGTGTGGATGGAGCTGCCACCTGTCACATCACTAGTAGTTGCAACAATTGCCTTAGATGGGTCATTTCTGGTCAAACTGTTGGGCAACAGGACAGGTTGTAGGTGCTGGTCGGGCCTCGTCCGATGCATGTAAACCCCATTCGGGCTGAAACTCCTGACAGCAGAGTGAGGAAATCGGACTTGTGGATACAGTTGTGCCTGCATTGCAGTCATGACATTACGGTTCCCCAATGTGCTGGGATTTGATAACAAGTTTTTTGGTAGTTGGGGTGAAAAGATTGGGGTTTGGCCAGCTTTGGTGGAAACTGAGGAATTAGTGGGGGACTGAGCTTGTGCAGTTGTCGGTAGTTTTTGATTTGCGCTGAAAGATATTTGATTTTGTGTTTGTGGTTGAGATTGATGATACTGGTTGGGGTTCGAGTGGGGCAGAGAGGATTGAGCTTGGGAAAATGGTGTTTTTGACAAGTAACTCCAATGGGGAGATTGGACCCGGCAGCCATTATTGCTCTGGGTGAGATTTTGCGGAAAGTTTGACAGATATTTCCCCGCCGTTACAGATGATGCAGTCATAGACTGGCCTGAGCTGCCAGTCACTACATTGCTGCTATCTATTGAGCCTGAACTCATTAAAGGAATAATTGGCTGTTGAGCTTTTTCGGCCAAATTTTCCCGTTCAGCTTCATCAGTCGATACATCACGAATTCGTAATTTTTCGCCCTCGGCAATTATGAAATTATTACTCTTTTGCCCGGGAGCCATCATCTGGATGTGGTGCTGTCCGGTAGCTTCTGGAAAGCTCTGGAAGATTGCCCGGTTTTGGACTAGCAACTGAGGGTGGACGGGCATGGCGAAATTCGGGCCGAGAATACTTGTGCGAGCTCGAGAGCCCGCGCCTCCGGAGGCCACCAGCGTTTCTCCACGGTAGTGAGGCCCGATCGGGAAACGGTAGGCATTGTTGTTTTGTAGCATTGCAGGGTATTGTGAGGTGTCCATGGGAGGAGGGTAGTTGAAGCTAATGGATGAGGTGGGGCTCGCCGGGTTTGACAAAGATGGGCCAAGTTTTGAGGAGGAGATGGGCCGGGTCGCTTCGTGCTGGTTCAAAGACATGGGCCCCTTTTGCTGTTGGACATAAATCAATCAAATAAGCCCTCTAATTCAACAGCAGACATTGACAAACACAAGTAAGATAGTATTTGTAAACCAAAACTGAAAACTGAATGTGTTCAAAGTTTAGTCACTGGAAAAGAAGAATTCAACTTGTAATGCAATGTCCCTCTCTACAGCTTATACTTTCGGATTAGGGAGTACTTACACTACGAAGTTAGCAGAGTCGTTAAGAAAGACGAACAAAATACAACTGTAAAAATGTGTGCCAGTAGAAATTCACTTGAAAGGAATGTACAAGATCAAGATCCTACCACTTTTTCTTTATACGCTTTTGTGAAGGTAACGAGAAAAAAATTGTGAGCAAAGAAACATACGAGTAAATTACTCGGCCCAACCGAAGGCAATTTCTCATTCTGAATCACGTGTTGCTGCTGCTTGTTTTCAACAGCATTAGAAGATGTCACGATTCGAGAGCCTCCTTTCTCCTTCACAACACGATCGGGAGTGCTAGCAACACCTTTATCTGCCCGGTTTCTAGAAGGATCCATCATCTTCATCACCTTCTGATGGCGATCAATGTTCCTTGCAATGAGGAAATGCCTCGCGCACCTTTTCAAGCTCGGCAGAGTTATTAATCGCTGCAAAAAAGATGTCATTCAATAAGGTCCAATTTTAAATGCTATACCGAAAGGGAAAAAAATTCAACCGAAAAAACGAACCCGTGTGGATGAAGGCGATACGGTGGCGCTGTTCTTGGCAGGTGCCATGTGTCTGCAGACGGAAATCGAGATATTAAGCTTAATTAATGAAAGATTTTTTTCTTATATTTTCAAATCTACTCAAATGCACAGACTAGTGATCAGCAGTCGATACCGAATGAACGAAAGGCCATCGGGACAACCACTATATATAGGACTTTCTGGTTGACCTAAAACAAAAAAGAAAATCGAATCAAGTAAATAAAGGCAAATCGTTCGCATAAAATTTTGAAGATCGACAAATATAGTACAAGAGATCAGATTATTACGACATTTCTCGGAATTAAACAAATCGTTGACTGAAATTCGACTCACCAGATTTCTCAGCGGCCGAGCCTTCTTTCTTCATCTGAACCGGCATTACTTCGAGCCGCTGAGAATCGATTTTCTTGCATGATTCAGTTTCTTCACCGGTCCCTTTACTTTTCCTTTCTTCAGCTAACAAATTCGCCTGACCGGATGGTGCAGAACTTTCCGGAGACGATGATCGTGCTTGAGCTGAGCCTGAGCACGTTTTAACAGTAATACTATCACCAGCAACTGATGAAGAAGCTGTCGCTGTCAAACTGGAATCACTGCAAAGGTCATCCTCATTTTTCACATTACCACTTTCTCTCTCCTTCACATCTTGTGGCTGAGCCTGAGCTGCCGGCCGCCCATCTGAATTGACCGAACTGCCCCTGCCCTCGAATCCATTTCCACTTGCAGATCCTGGGGCTTTCTCAGAACCAGAGGATGATGATAAAATCTCACTCTCCGGTGGCTGATTCATATCAAGCTCGACGGCAGCCGGGTCAATTCGGGTTATTCGACCCGTTTTCTCAGCCACCGGCCTCAGCCTCTTCCTCGCCGGAGCTACTACAGTAACATCCCCTTTGGATCTCTGCACTTCTTTGGAATTGTCTTTTTCCGACGGGCCCTGCGACTGAGTCATGAGGCCGAATAAAACCTCGGCAATCTCAAGCTCCAAATCCTCTGCGGCACTCGAAGAAGCGTGCCCAGTCGACGATGAGGCCATGGGTGGCTTTAGCTTCGCCTCCGTATTACTCTCACCGGACTTCTGCAGGATACAAACCTGCCGGAGTTAACAAACACCGGCAAAACTGAAAAATAAATAAATATATATAAATAAAGAGTTTATAAAAACTAACGAGTTTCTTTTTAAAGAAAGAATTGGAGGAAGAAGGAGGAGACATTGGAACCGCCGGCGGTGGTGCTGAAGTGGAAGCGCAGCCGGGCTGACTAGCCGGAGAACCGGAAGCTCGTTGGAGAATTTGCTTGGCTCCTCCGGCGCAGCCGCCGTCGGTTCTGCTTGAATTCCAATCACGTGACCTCTTCGCACTCGCTGCAAAGAACAAATCTTCGATAAAATTGGCTGAGAAAAAAAAAAAAAAAGAAACTATTTTTACTGATTTTTATTTCTTTTTACCAGAGCGAGGTTTTCTGGGAACTGTAACGCCGATGATTTCGTCACTGGGCCTCCATACATGGGTTGCTCCGAAAACCTCGGAGGTAGACGAAGAAGAAAACCCAGGTGGAAAACTTCTTCGAAGCTGAAGATGATGATTATTAGTATGCTGCTGACCATGGTGGTCGGTGGAAACAGAACCCGACGGCGGCGACGGCAGAAACAATCTGCCGGCGACGGTGGCTGAGGCAGTGGCTTCATCTCTATCGTCATACTCGTCATCGTTCAGGCTCTCTTCTGAAGTTTCATCGTGCACCCTTTTCCTCTCTCTACAATCTCGATGTCTATTGACTCTGTCCCTCAACCTCACGGACTCCGGCCACTCAACTCCTCCGCCATATTCTACCAAACAAAAACATCAAAAGGTCAGATTTTTCAACACAACTCTGAAAAGATAACTTGTTTTTTAAACAAAAACAGAAATCAGATCCTGGTAAAAACTGATTCTTTTTTGTTTCTTTTTTCTTGTATAAAACCTGGGGAGCCCGTGAGGCTGCTTGTTCTGAGCCCTCTTCTGTTGAAGCCATTAGAGCCCAAAATACTAACTCTTCTGCTTTCTCTGTTTCTTTCCATTTTCATAGACATTTTCCCTCTTCTTCTTTTTATATCATATCAGATGTCATTTACTGCTTGATGATTCACGCAGAAATGAATAAATCAATACTGATCAGAAATAAATTGAAATTAAAAAAGAAAAAAAA